CTAAGAGGTCGCCGATTCGATTCCCAGTCAGGCACATGCAAAGGTTGTGAGCCAAATCCCCAGTGTGGGGCATGCAGGAGGCGGCCAAATCAATGTTCTCTCTCATCAATGTTTCCAGCTCTCTCTCCCTCTCCCTTCCTCTCTCTCTCTAAAATCAATAAAGAAAAAAAAAAAAATACGAAAAAGAATGACAGAAAATTTCCCTTACCTTGAAAGAAATAGACATACAAGTCCAGAAAGCCCAGAGAGTCCCAAGCAAGACTAACCAAAAGAGACCCACACCAAGACACATCATAATTAAAATGCCAATGGTTAAAGACAAAGAGAGAATCTTAAAAGCAGCAAGAGAAAAGCAGTTAGTTTGTTACCTACAAGGAAGCACCCATAAGACTGTCAGTTTTACAGGCCAGAAGGGAGTGGCAAGAAATATTCAAAGTCATGAAAAGACCTACAACCAAGATTACTCTACCCATCAAAGCTATAATTTAGACTTGAAGGTCAGATAAAGAGCTTCCCAGACAAGAAAAAGCTAAAAGAGTTCATTACCACCAAACCAGTATTACTATGAAATGTTAAAGCATCTTCTTTAAGAAGAAGAAGGAAAAAAAAGATAAAAAATATGAATAAAATGGCAATAAATACCTATCTATCAATAAAAATCAAAATAAACAAACAAAATAGAAACAGATTCATAGATACAGATAACATTTTGATGGTAGACAGATGGGAGGGGAGGGGAGAAAAAGGTGAAGGGATTTAGAAGTACAAATTAGTAGTTATAGTGTAGTCATGGGGATGTAAAGTACAGCACAGGGAATATAGTCAGTAATATTCTAATAACTATGTATGGTGTCAGATGGGTATGAGATTTTTCAGATGATCACTTAATAAGTTTTATAATGTCTAATCACTGGGGTGTACACCTGAAACTGATATTGTATGTCAAGTATAATTGAAAAATAAAAAATGATTTTTTAAAAAGGTAAGAAAAAAAAAGAAAGAATAAAATCTTGCCATCTGTGACAATATGGATGGACTTTGAGAGTATTATGCTAAGTGAAATAAGTTATATAGTGAAATACAAATACCTTACAATGTCTCCTATATGTGGAATCTATAAATAAATAAATAAATAAATAAATAAATAAATAAATAAATAAATCCAAGCTCATAGATACAGAGAACATATTAGTGGTTGACAGAGAACTGTTTTTTTTTTATTTTTTTTAGTTTAAATACATTGAAAAAACAAAACAAAGAAAAAAAAGATTGGTAGGATACCCTAGTGGAAAGAAGAGTTCCAAGGTCAACCATGAATGGGAAATGCATGGTGACAAGAGTAAAATAGGTTTCTTTATAGGAGGACTCCTCAGAGCCTTTGAGGCAAATGTGCACTGCAAATCTCCAGCTAGGGAACAAATTATTCAGCATTTCTCAAATTCACTTAAACCCAAAACTCATGCTTTACAAAGTTCCCTTTCCATTTATAGAAGTTACAGAAACACTGTGGATGAAAGATACAGAGGAAGCATATAATGTAAGTCATGTCTTTCCTTTAACAAGGACATACTCTTATTGGGGAAGCAACTCTTATAAAACAAATGCGCATAAAACAATGATGGACATGTTACATAGACAATAGGAGTTTAGGCAAAAGAGGCAGTCAGGGAGGGGAAGATCAATGTGGTTTGAGACACCTGGAACTGGGATGATAGGAAAGGTATAATTTAAGCTGGAGCTTGAAAAAAAAAAAAAACAGGGCAAAGGAAAGGGGTAAACAAAAAACAGGAATGAGAGAGTGTGGAAATGAGTGGGCAGCCTTGCATAACTCTGACTTGTTATTTGCTCGAATAGATCAACCAAAGAGATTTTACTGGACAACCCATATACACTTGATATTATAAAGTACTTTTTAAATGCCGTATTTTTAAGCTCCAATGATTACTAGTAATTCATTCTAGACTAGCTTTTCTTAGAAGAAAATAATATCAGTAACAGACATGTCCATTGCACGTCAAGAGGCGATCTTAATGTGTTCTGTTCTTCCACATATCTACAATTCCTTATCCAGAACTCCAAAACCCCAAAACCTCTAAAAACTCCCCCAACAGATTTTGTGGCAAAACCTTTCCTGAACTGATAAGAGGCTATGTATATTCTTTATCTAGCCTGCTTAGTGTGACTATGCATTCATTTGGAGGGCTACCCTAGACTGCATTGGAGTGTTCTTTACATTGCAGTATACATATCATATCATCTTTTTAAACTCTTAAAACTTTTAAATTCTGAAATACAAGGGTCTCTAATAAGGGACTGTGGGCTGATTATTCTTATTTGTACCTCAAATGTATGCTGTCTGTGAAAAAAGTGTTTGCTATTTACCACAGCCTATGAGTGACTCTGATTTAAAGGGGAAAAATAGATGCTCAATAAAGATTTGCTTGTTTTCTCCATTCTCCATTCAATAAATATTTATCAAGGCCCTCCAATGTATTGTTCCTTTTTTAGTCTCTAGGGATACAGGAGGGAGGAAAACAGGTAAAGCCTCTGCCTCCTGTAATTATTTTTAGTAAGAGTGACACTAAACAAAGATTAGTCCAGGAGTTGATCAATGCTAGGGAGAAAAATTCAGAGTTAAGGAGTAAAGGGTGCTGGGTCACTGTTATTTTTAAAAGAATGGTCTAGGAAAGTATCTCTGGGAAGGTGACATTTGAGCAAGGACTTGAAGAAGTAAGAGAGTGACCTCAGGGGATATCAGAAAGAAAAGTGTCCTAGGCAGAAGGAACAGCAAAGACAATGGCTCTGAGGCAGGACTGTGCATGACTGAGGGAGGGAACTTAAGTGCTATATAGAGAGCATCTCATCTAATCCCCATAACCCTTACTAAGCGCACTTCACAGATGAGAAAACTGAGCTCTGAGAGAGGAGCCTTTTGCAGTATGCCACAAGGCTGTTGAGTGGTAGAGCTGGGAAGCTGGTGCCCCAGCTAGCTTCCTTTCGAAGTCCCTAAAACAGGCCAGGCCTCTGGAAGGCACTAGAGACTGAAGCCTTCCCAACCCTGGAGGTTCTGCCCAGGTCTGACCTCCTCGAAGGCCCAGATATCTGGATTCCAGTATGACCTCAGCTCTCCTGGTTGTTGAGAACGACACAGGCCTTTGGAGCAGGACAGGTCAGGCTCCGATAAAGTGTCTTGAGGAGCCAGGACAGGGCTCCTCTGCTTATCCTTCCAGATGGCCAACCTCTGCTAACCCTCTCAAAGCCCAGGGAGCCTGCACTTTTATGATCCTCTGGACGAAAAGGGACCACATGCTAACCTGACAATCTCGGAGAAAGCCTGCGTGATAGCCTTGCAAACTCAAAGACCTAAAGTAATCACAAAGGATGGTCTGAAATGTAAACTTTTTAAGTAAAAGCAGTTTATGGCAGGTAGTCATGTCCTAGACCAGCATCTTCCCTGACAAAGGTAATTTTCACCTTAATTGAGCCTATTGCTGCTGCTTCTTCTGCTTCTTCTTCTTCTTTTTCTTCTTTGTTGTTGTTTGCATCTAAGATAACATACCTTTTGGAATGTGGGGTAACTTCCCTTTTTCCAGAACCCTCAGGGCACAACCTATACACCAGGGCGGAAACCACAAATCCCCTCACTGTTATTATTATGTTAATTGTTGACTGTTAACTACTATCCTGTACCCACCTATGTAGAAGGATGTGTCTATCATTGTACTTTTTACCCAATCTCAGCGATTTCCCCGCTTTGCTTTCTCCCACCTCCCTAATCTATCACCAATGGATTTCCTGTAACCGATTTATGTCTTCTCTTTTGATTGTAATGTATAAATTAAGGTGCAAAACTGCCATTCTCAGAGGCATTATCTCAATTCGTTGAGGTTTTGCTTCCCAGCATTTGCGGACAGTTAGGCTCAAATAAACTCACAAAATTCTTTACAGGACTGAACGTTTCTTACGTTGACAATCCCATCAGCAGGGGTGAATACGGAGGCTCACAGAGCCAGAGGACTTAACTGAGGCCACGCTGGTGGCCACCGATCTTCAGCCTAAACTCTTTAAACTTGGCCTGGGCTCTGGGCACCTCACTTAATTCACCTTAATTTGGGCCCTGTAATGGAAAGAAACAGTGAAAGTCACCCTACTCACCATCTGTTCACCCACACCCACCACTCGGGGGTCCAGGGGACCAAGAGCGGGGCTGTGCACCCCACTGTTCCACTGAGAAAAAAGAGTAGGGGTAAAGGTGGTGGTGGGTGTGTGTGTGCGTGTGGGGAGGGGGGGTTCGTCAAAGGCTTTCTTTCAGCCTTCAGGTGGCGTCCTTGAGCCACGGAGCCGCACGAGTCTGTGAAGACCGTCCGGACCTAAAGACCTGGGTCCTACCTGGGGCCGGGTGTGTTGGGCGAGAGAGGGCAGGGTCGGGGCCGGAGCAGCATCTGAGCTTGACGCAGTCGGGGCTCCCCAGCGGGGGAGACAGGCAAGCGGCGGGGAGGGGTCTTCTTCAGTACCCCCCCGCCCCGCCCCTGCGCCCCGGCAACTCGCGCTCGAAGCTTCTGTCCCCCTAGCCAGCAGATAACCCCTAAGGGGAGGAGGAGAAGGATGGAGCTTGGTGCCCCCATCCTTACTCCAGCCTGTTACCCGCCTCCCTGTCCCTCCCCACGCTAACTCTCCGGGCGCCCTCGCCGGCCGCGGGCGGAGCACGATCCGCTGCGCTCGGCGATCCCCGGCTCCCGCCCCTTCTCTTGTCCCTCCTCCCCCGAGCCCCCCGCGGCCGCCGCCGCCGCCGTGCAGCCCAGGGCGGCGCGAGCAGGTACGTGCGCCTCGGCAGCGGCTCCGCGCGGGCCGGGAACGGGGCAGGAGCTGGGGAGGGACTGACTGTGGCGGCCGGGCCCGCGCCCTCCCGGGCTGCGCCGCAGCGGAGACGCCGGCGGTCGGGCGCCGGCTGCAGGGAAGCGGGTGGGCGCCGGGGAGGACGCGCCCTCGCCCGCGTGGGGCGGCAGGGAGGGAGGCCCGGCGCAGGTAGGCACGCGGAGAGATGACTGCGGGGGCGTTGGGAGGCTGAGGCCCGAGGCGGGGAGGGGCGGCGACAGGGAGCTCGCCTGACCTCGCGGCCCGGCCAGAGGACATGCGGCGAGGGGACCCGGGCGCACGCCGCCCCTCGCGGAGCCTGGTCTTCCCGGGCCGCCTGGCAACCCTGCCATTGGCGCTGCCCGGCCCGGTTCAGCCTGGCCCGGCCCGGCCGCGTTCGTGGTCAAGGGCAGAAGCAGGGGGTGTGAGCTACGGGCGGGCGGGCGCGCGGTGCGGCGGGCTGCCGGGTGTTGGCGCTTCCTGCGCGGAACTTTGGGTATAACAGCGTGGACCGGCGTTGTGCGTATGTGCGCGCCCAAGGCTTTGTGTACAACTCGTGCGTGTATCTGTCATTTGGTTTTTGTGAAGCTTCACCCACGCCCGCTGTACGTCTGTCTTTCCGCGTGTTAGTGCACGCGGTGCGTGGGGTGCTGGGCCCGGGTGCGTCTTGGTGGCTTTGGCTGAGATCTTAGCAGCCCTGGGGGTAGTTAAGTGTGTGTGTGTGTGTGTGTGTGTGTGTGTGTAACCAGCCTTATCCCTTATGACTGTGGGTAAATGTGTGTGTGTGTGTAACCAGCCTTATCCCTTAGGAGTGTGGGTAAAAGTGTGGCCCCGGGTGAGTCTTGGTGGGTCTGGTTGAGATCTTAGCAGCCTTGGGGGTAGTTGCCTGTGTGTGTGTGTGTGTGTGTGTGTGTGTGTGTGTCCAGCTTTATACCTTCTGGGTGTGGGTACCAGTGTGGCCCACGAATCTATGGGTCACACTGTGGCTTCCCATGTCTGTAGGTGCTGCATGTGGAAATGGCCCCTGGAGGTGTGAGTTTAGAACTGGGGTGTACCTTTCAGGTCCTACAGATGAAATTAGAGTGTCACCAACATAGTTGCCTGGTGTGAGCATTGGACCCCAGCATGTTTGTCAATTTACCTGTTTCTTATGTTTTGGGCAATTGATTGGGCATGTGGGAATCTCTGAACCTGTGTGTGAGAGGGAGTCTCCTTTTTCTCTGCCCTCTTCCTAACTCTGGCATCCTAAGGAAAAAGTTTCGAGTTCCAGCTGGTGAAAGAGAGCCCTGCCACCAGAATGTGGGTGCCCTGAATTTTCTCAGGGATACTGAGGCATCAGTGTGCCACGCTGGGAAGGTGGTTCTTGTGCCATGGCAGGAGCTGAGTTCTCTGGAAAGTGTTGAAGACCTGGGGGTGGGGTGGGGTGGGGTGGGGTGGGTACATCTGGACACCCACTGGGCAGCAGCCGTCACTGCCGGTCCCTGTTTGTAGCTGGGCACTCAGGAAAATGCTTTTGGTGCCAAGAGTAGAAAAGCCAAACATACCTTTTCTCTTGGTTTACTGGGAGTGGGAGCAGTCTGGGCAGGGCCTGGCCTTGAGTAGGCCTCCCTCACCCTTGTGTGGGAGAGACTGTCTCCATGGGCAGGTTGCCAAGCCCTTCCTGGGGACTGCCTGTGTTCTAAGCCCTGTGCAGGGAGGTAGTGATGCAGATGGAATTCACACATTTCCCTGCCCTCAAGCCGCTCAGAGTGGCTGTTGAATAGTGGGATAGAGTAGAGTCTGGAGTGAGGGCTGGAAGAGCCAGGGAGGGAGAGTGGAACGCTGCCTCCTCCACTTGGTGCAGGAGTGTGTGGGGTTGCAGTTTGTAGGTGATAACAATTCTTAGGCGCCTGCATGCTTGCCATGGGATCTTGGCCACGTTTTTGTCAAATGGAGATTGTAATTCCTGCTCTCGGCGGCGGCTGGTGAAAGTTATATCAGATACTACCGAGAAAGTGCCCACTATAGGGCCCAACAGGGAGTGTAGGTGCTCAGTAAACATTGTTAAATTAGAACTCAGGAAAGAGGAATGTGGTGATAGAAATGGGTTGTAAGTGGAAACAGGCTTTGTACTCAGATGAAAGGCCCTGTGTGTCCAGTGCAAGTCCATGTTGGAAAAAAGATCAGAAAGATAGAAAAATGTGTCTTGCTGCACTGAGGCTCTTTTAGGTTTGTTCGTTCATTCATTCATTTACTCATACTCCCCCCACACACGCACAAACACTACACACACATACACATACACACACACACGGAACATCAGTGCACTGGAAAATAAACTCAGGCATGGGAGTGCAGAGAAACATCTAGAATCATGTGTATGTGTGTATGTAGACACACCAGAGTATGTGAGCCACTCTGCAACTGGGGATCTGTACAGTGTGGGGACTTGGGTCAGTGGGGAAGCTGAGGCCCAAAGAGGATAAGTGAATTGCCCTGGGCGTACGTACTCCCAGGACATCGGTGTGTATGGGGAACAGTAGTTCTGCTGTGGGACCAGGAATTTTGCATGCCAGCTGGGGAAGGGGGCTGCCCTGGGACCTGTGGGGGACAGCACCGGCTCTGCCAATGGGAGGACTCCATCATCAACTCCAGCTGAGTTTATTGTGAGAGAATGGGGGCCTAGGGTGGCGAGATTCCTACTGTTTTGTAAGAGAAGCCAGGAATCCAAAGCTTAAAATGTAAAATATTTTGCTATTTAAAAATTGGCAAATACTTCACCCAAAACAAATGAACAGATCAGAAACAAACAAAAACACCCCACAAAACTTCTGTGAGCCAAAGGCGGCCCCTGGGCTCTACGTTGGTGTCCTTTGGCTGCCTGCCTACCTGTGCAGGTGTGTGTTCAGGTATTGGGTGGGATAGCTCCCCCTCCCCTGCAGCTCCCCTTCTTTAGTCCCCATCCAGCCCCTCCCCTGCAGCTCCCCTTCTGTGGTCCCCATCCAGCCCCTCCCCTGCAGCTCCCCTTCTGTGGTCCCCATCCAGCCTCTCCCCTCCAGCTCCCCTTCTGTAGTCCTCATCCAACCCCTCCCCCATCTTCTTATAGAAAGGCATTTGGCTTTGACTTCAGACATGGCTCACAAATATGCTCCTTCCTCTCAGTTCCCATCTGTGCCTCCCCTTACCACATCAGATTCTTCCCTGGACCCCTGGCCTCCACACAGCAGCCAGAGAGAACTTTCTGAAACCTGGGCAGATGGCAGCACTCCTGGCCCCAGCACCTCACCTCCTGGCTCCTTCGCTTGGCTTGTAGAGTTCTTTGAGAGTTGGTCCAGCTGACCTCCGAGGTACCCCATCCCCCTGTCCAGAATGCCTGCATCTGCTCTTACTGCTGGGGTCCCACCCATCCTCTCAGATCTGGCTCAAATGCCACCGACTCCCAGAATCTCCCCTGACTTTCTCCTCTTTGTTCCCCCATCACCTCCATCATCTCTACCCCTCCCCCACTCCCAGCCATTCTTACTTCAACACAACAGGGTCCATTAATTGGACCAGCTGTAGTCTTATATGCATCATCTTATGAAATCCTCAAATCAAATCAACCCTATGAGGGAGGCATTTTGCTTATTCCCATTTAATGGATAAGAAAATTGAAAGTGGAGAGGTCGCATTCCTTGCCTGAGCTCAAGTGGTGAAGGTGAGATTTAAACCTGATATCCACTGTGTCTAAGTCTCTCCATCATAACGACAGCTCATCGCTGGTACTTACTAAGTACTTACTGTTATGAGAGCTTTATACGGATTATCTCAATCCCTAAATCAGCCCCGGTAAGTAGGGAGTGGTAGTAGTACTGTCACTTAATAGATGGGGAAACTGAGGCCCAAAGAGGATAAGTGAATTGCCCAGAGCCACGTGCCAGCCAGTGGTGGAGCAGGACCCTAGCATGGACCCTGCTGTCTGTCTTATGCCCTACCTGCCCCTCTATCTGGCAGGCGCCCCGAGGTGGGAACTGTGCCTGGCTCATCTACACGTCGCGTGGGGCCCAGGGTGCTATCCAACACCACCAGGATTTGGGTAGAGGTTTGCTAAATTTGACCAACTTTCTGTTTTCTCTTCCAGCTGCGAAGGGGCCAAGGGATGAGCTGGGGCCCTCCTTCCCAATGGCATCTCTCCCTGGTCTGGAACTGAAGACACTGAGCAATGGTCCCCACACCCCAAGGAGACCAGCTCCTCTAGGCCTGGTGGCCCTATCCAGGGAGGGTGTGGAAAATGCCTGCTTCTCCTCAGAGGAGCATGAGACCCATTTCCAGAACCCTGGGGATCTCAGACTGGGCAGCTCCCCCAGCCCTCCTGGGGGTGTCCCCTCGAGGCCCCGATCCCAGCGGGATGATCTGTCCTTGCATTCAGAAGAGGGGCCAGGCCTGGAGCCCGTGAGCCGCCCGGTGGACTTTGGCTTTGTTTCTGCTCTGGTTTTCCTGGTGAGCGGGATCCTCCTGGTGGTGACAGCTTACGCCATTCCCCGTGAGGCCCGCGTCAACCCGGACTCAGTGACAGCACGGGAGATGGAACGACTAGAGATGTACTATGCCCGCCTGGGCTCCCACCTGGACAAGTGCATCATCGCAGGCCTGGGGCTGCTCACAGTGGGCGGCATGCTCTTGTCGGTGCTGCTGATGATCTCCCTGTGCAAGGGTGAGCTCTACCGCCGGCCGACCTTCGTCACTGGCAGGGGCTCCAGGAAGACCTATGGCTCCATTAACCTGCGCATGAGACAGCTCAATGGGGACGGGGGCCAGGGCCTGGTGGAAAACGAAGTTGTCCAGATCTCAGAGACCAGCCACACCCTCCAGAGGTCTTAAGTAAGCAGCCTGTTCTGGCTGCTTCAGCTCCAAGGCTACAAGCCCCCCAAGGCCTTGGGTTTTAGACTGAGCTCCACACAAGGCCCTGGGGAAGGAGTCCTGGGTGCTGGAAGGGGAGCCCAGGGCCTGGCTCAGGCTCCATGGTAGAGGTTGGCCCCCTGATCTGTTTTGTAGCTTGAGGTGTTGCGTTAGGTTTTGTTTGGAGGATGGCTTCTGCTGCTAAAAATACAGAAGTTTGGAAACTGCTGCCCTTGGAGGATGAGGTTTCTTGGCATTTCTGATGATTGAGAGCAGTTTGAAAGGCTGCCCATCCTGTTCTTTGTGCCTGGGGAAATTCCAGGATCTCTGTAGTCCGTATCAGCAAAGTGTGGGTGTTGGTGACTTTGAGGGACCCCTTTCAGCTATGACCATCTATGGTGGGAGAGCTGGCTTTAAATGAGGGGAGAAGTCAGCACTGCAGTGACCCCGCCCCAGGCCCCAGGCCCCCTGACTGTAAAGTGAGGGTCGGACTGGACGATCCCTCGGGCCCCTCAGGTTCTGCCCCAGGAATAAGCGCCCAGTATCTGCCTCTGGCCACTCCTTCAGGGAAGAAGGATGTCGGGGGTGCTGACCGTTCTTTGTGCCATTTTCTGGGCAACTCCAGGAGCTCGCACAGTCCTGCCAGAGTCCCCTACACCTCCCAGTAATGCCAGGTTAAATCCAAAATTTGCTACAGCCTTGTTTTGGGATTGAATTTTCTGCAGTGACTACATCTTAGCTCACATTTCACAAAGTCAAGTGCCCAGTTTTCACCAACTCCCTGAACAAGAGAGGTCTTTTCTACCAGAGGGGTGAGGGCTTTGTTGTGTTTCCATGGACATGATGTGGGCCTGCATTACTTCCCCCTCCAGAGGATGTCTCTTGGGCCTGACTTTGATAGCAGAAAAGAAATTTTTCTTAGTGCTGAATTTGTAACCTCCCCCTTCTCCCCACTTCTTAGCAGTCAAGTGCAGTGCTAACATGTTTGGGGAGAAATCAGGCGCATTCGGGTGACCTGGAAACTCCAGCCACATTGATCACGGTGTGTTCTGTTTTTCTTGTGGTGTGTGTCCAGTCTCTGTCCAGACTTTCTAAACTCTGGGCAAGGAAAGGAAGTAGGTTTTAGAGGGCAAGGAGATACAGGTGTTTGAGGATGGGGGAGGCATCGTCCAGTCTGAGTAGCCCTGGAAGGCTTTGAGGGTACGTACCTTCAAGGCCACTGGTGGGAAGACCCTAAAGGGGTCATTTCAGTGAGCCCCCTGGCTCCATGCAGGTCCTACTGACTCCATCACAATTGGCCATGTGGGCCATGGATCCTGACTGTCTCTTGGGGGTGGGCATGGGGTCTGAAGGGGAGAGCAGCCCTGATTATAGCTGTAACCTGAACCTTCAGTCTGGTTGGGAACATCTGGGCAGTTTAACATCACAGCTTCTAGGAGAGATCAAATATCTGCTCCTGCTGGCAGGTTTTGCCAGAAGCAGGGGGCCGGGGGAGGGCTGGAGGGGACAAGGCTGTTCAGCGTGGCCTGCCAGGTGCCGTTCCTATTGTTGAAGATGGATGTGGTTTGAGAAGAACAAAGCTTCAAAATGGTGAGAGACCACAAGTCGGGGCTTCTACCGCTGTATCAGTCTCCCTGGCTCCAAGCAAGGAGTGGATGCAGAAAGTGGCATGAGCTGTTCTAGATGAACTACAGCAGAATCGAACATCCCAAATGATGAGCTAACGCCCTTCAAATTCATAATGATATAAAAATACTAGTCCAAGCCATGTGGATTGCATGATGGGTGGGGGTGCTCACTTGGAGACCAAACCTGTTGAGTGGATGCATCTGGGACCATCAATTCCTGTTTAAATTCAGTGAATTGTGTTTGGGGGCTAAATCAACTGGAAGATTAAGTCCCAGGAATCTCAGGTTTTCTCTAAGCCAGAGACGCCTGCTTACCATCCTAACACAGAAAGTGTGTGTAATGGGTCGAGGCAGTCATTACCTTGTCAGTGAATTAAGGAAACTTAAGAGATGCCAAAAACACTTCTCCCAGATTGCAGATGAAAGCTCCCAGTCAGTGGATGAGAAGCAAGGTTAGGAAGGAGAGTGGTGGAGGGTGCGAGAACTTTCTTTGCAGGTGTTTTAGGGGTGGGTGTGGAGAGATGCCATGGCCCTGTGGTCGCTGGAACGTGCCTCACCTCCAGGAACTGCCTCTCGCACCAGACATGCTGCTACGGTCCCAAATCTTGCTTTTCCTGGTGTATTAGAACAGATACCGATTGGGGAGTTGGGGAAACCTGGGTTTGAATCCAGACTCTGCTATTTACTGACTGTGACAATTAGGCAAATTACTCCACCTCCCTGAATATATAGTTTTCCTTATCTGTGAAGTGAATGAACTGAGGCTCGGGATGGGAAGAGCTAAGATAGAGCTGCATGGAATGAGGTCCAGGCACTGACCGCTCTCCTTCCCCACCTCAGTTGGAGATAACTGGCTTAGGCCTAAGACCTCAGGGCTAGCTGTCTGCCTGTCTTCTCTCCCACCTCTCCTACCCATCGGCAGATCCAGGGCTGACCACTGCCCACCCTCTGCTCCTGGTCCATCCTCCATTCTACAGCCAGATTCATCCTGTTAAAAGGTTAACAGGAGCGGGTCACTCCTCTGCTCAAAACCCGTCAATGGCTCCCTCTCCAGGCAGAAGCAGAAATTCTTGCCCTGGCCAGAGGGTTCACCATGCGGGCTCCTCACTTGCATAGGCTCCAAAGGCCCTGAGTCCAGTTTTTATTTATAATTTTGATTTTTTAAAAGGGTGGCCCTCTAAATTGCATAGGTTTTAGGTCCCCTACCCTGGGTCCGTCCCTCCCAGTGGCCTATAAAACCCTAAGCAATATGGCCCCTGGGCCTCCCTGACCTTGCTTCCTGCCTCTTGCCTCTTGACTTACTCCACAGCGGCACACTCACCTTGCCTCCCTCTTTCAGGGGCCTGGCACCACTTTATGTGGGAGAGGTAGAGAGGTATCCTTGATGGCAGAAGACCCCTCTCCCCCAGCCTTGTCAGGAGACAGCCAGGTCCTAGCTAGTCTTGAGGGACATTTGCAAGGTGCTAAGGAACCTGAGATACACCAGCCTGATTCTCCCTCAAGGAAGTGCCCAGGCGGACCTTTGGAGCCCCAGTATCCATCATCCATCTGCTCACCTCAGGCATCCTATGTGTCTCCCAGCTGAAAATACCTGCTGCCTGAGTCCACTATTATCTCTCCCTTCCTCAGTAATAAGCATCACCTTCTCTGGGATTGTCTTTAAAATGTCCCCTTCCTTGCATGTCCACACCTACAAATACACACACATGCAGGAGCACACACTGGTGCATGAATGTGCGCGCGCGTGTGCACACACACACAGCTCTCGTCTGACCTGGCTCAGAAGCCAAGGACATACTCAAACCAGCTCCAAGCCAGGGCAACCTCTGGGTTATTGATGGCATTTTCTTTTTCTCCAGAAGCCACAGGCCTTGCAGTTCCCGGGAGGCTGACCTCGCAGCAACAGTTTCCCCTCTCCATGCTAAGCTGGTGGTACCTTCTCTGTATCCTTCCTGCTCCCCCACTTTGGTGGAAGCGGAGAGTTGTCCAGGGAGCATTTTCCAGCTGGAATTCTGTGTGGTTCTGGGCTGGGAACCAGGGGAGCGAGGTCCTGTAGGTCACCTCTTCCCTGTGGGCCTCTGAGCAAATCATTTCACCTCTCTCGTCCTCCGAGATAAAATTGGAAACCTTCCACTCTGCCCTCTCTGGGGCCTGAGGGAAACAGGAAACCCAAGCAGGGGGCTTTTCAAAGTTGAGAGCATGTTACCCTGTGTCTGGAGACCTTTGGAGGGGCATGAGGAGGGGGAGGAAGGGAGGCATTATGAAGAAACCACAGGAGGCGGTTTTCTGTCTAGAGGTTCTGTTTGGGAGGAAAGTGGGGTATCAGTTGTGCTGATCAGTTGTGTCAAGGAGATGCCCTCCAGCAGAACCTACTGGTTTCTCTGGGAGAGAGTGAGCTCCCCTTGATGTCCCCGAGGAGGTACATTTTAGCTGTGGGAAGCAGCTTGCGCAGATCTTGCCTGGGTTGGAGTGACAGGAAGCTCCTTGTCAGTAGAGTTATGTTAGCATTTACTGGTCAAGTGTTGGGTATCCTAAGGGGTAGAGTGTAGTGGATTTGGGCACGATTTAGTCAAGAGGCTCCCCAAGCTTCCAATTCCCCTCCTTTGAAAAAACCCAATGCCCCAGTGGCCAGAGCCTGGCTAGAGACAGTAGCACCCCTGGAGATGCTGTGTCTTCTTGTCTTTGGCTCGAACACCCTCTCCCCCACATTCTTCTTCCTGAGTCAGGTTGTCCATCAGCAGCTAGTGGGAGGGCCCAGGGTAGCTGAATGGTGCAGAGGGTGGCAGGGTTCTCCTCCTCCTAGGAGGCCAGGCACTTCTGAGCTTTCTCCCTACTCAAGTCTCAGAGTGACTGGGGGCAGGGCCCCTTACGGGGGACCGTCCATCAGATAAGAGTACAAAGGCACTGGCTCCAGAATCTGATTGCCTGGATGCCTCTGTTTCCTCATCTATAAAATGGGGTGCTCATAACTGCCTTCCTCAGAAGATGTGGTGAGCAGTGATGAGATGATACCTGCAAAGCATTAGCACGGTGCCTGGCATTTCATAATCCCTCAGTAATGGTAGCTGTTCACATTCATTCGTCCATTCATTCACACCTAACCTGCATTCTTCCCTGGGCCAGACTCTGTGGGACAAATGGCCCCTGCTGGTGCCCAGTAGGGTGTGTGTGTGTGTGTGTGTGTGTGTGTGTGTGTGTGTGTGTGTTAGGGGGTACAGAGGAGGTACAGGATTACTGATTGAGTTGGGGGTCAGAAAAGGCTTTTGTGGAAGGGATGATGTCTAACAGAAATCTTAAAGCAGTGAGGCAGTATCCGATGTGGGGAAGTGGAGAGCAGGAAAGGTGTTCTAGGCAGAGGAACAGCATAAGCAGAGGCTCAGAGGCATAAGACAGCCTGGTGTGTACAGGGGAGAAGCAGGCTGGGAGGGAGGCCTGCAGGTTCTGTGCTGGAGTGTCCAGCTGTGGGAGTTCGCATTTCATCACCTGTAGAATGTGGTGACCAGTCCTCAACTCCCAGGGTTGTAATGAGAACTCCAGTTCTTGCTGGTACAGCACAGCACAGGGCCCGGCATGTGCTGAGGCTCACTGTCAGCCATTATGACTG